GATATATTTTTTAAATTGGATAACTCCATTGTGATGCCGACCACTATGAGATTTCAAATTTCATAAACATTTTCTCCTCCCTATGGAATGAAGAATGAAGTTAAACAATTCTTTACACCTTATAAGCTGGTCAGAGCCGAAAATAAAAAAACAAAGCAATCGAAGCAATTCTAATTTGGCCATTTCATTACCTCGAAAGCTGCGCATAGGACTCACCGTCAGTCCACTTGGATTAATTGATCGTAAATTAGCGAGATGATTTGAACGGGTAGCCAACGGTTACACCGAATACCAAACCACTGTTTTTTACATAAATAACATGGAGAGTAATAGCTATGGCATACTATTTATCCTTTATCTTCATCGAATTCCCTTCCTCTATTAAAATTTCGTTGAAATTTGGGGAGGGGAGGGGAATAGGATGTAACCGAGCAACCGATGAGAATGATATTTTAACGGCGATTCCCCTTAATTGGCGTGACCATCATGCGAATGAAAAATAAAATTGCATTAAGGTTTTTTCAAGAGCGAGAATGCTCGTCTCTCAATACAGCTCATCATGGCACCTGGCCCACAGAACAACTTAAAAATTGATGGTTATCTTCGAACCTTTGGGATATTAATTTTTTTTTTTACACATTTATCACTTTTGTTTGAACCGAATTACCGATTAACATGCACTACAACGGAATACTCCAATTAACAATGCCTCTCGATACCTCTTCACTCTCTTTGCTCCATACCCTGCACCAGAAAAATCCATTTGATCCATTTGCGTGACAACGTTCTACTCAGGGACATATTCACGATTTATTTTCACTAATTGCACGCGATTTTTATTGCAATTTCATGATAAATATATATATAAGTCGAAGCCGATTTAATTACGGGGCTAGGCTAGGATGGATGGAAGGGTAGTTATTCTGATGATGTTCTGATAAAGATCCGTGTCCTAATTCCTGATTATCCTACAACAATCTACGTTTTCCTGTTTCCAGAAATACCGGCAACGCCCTTCCAGACTCCCCGGTTGTTGGACACCTCACCAATGGATGGAGGTGAGTTCTCTTTTTCTTCCTTCTAACAATGAAGTAATGTTCATTCATCCTCATCCCTTGTCAATTACCTAGTCATCATGATGCTCATCAATTATCTCTTGGAGAGGGTGCTCTGGAAACTCTGGCAACTCTCATATAATGATTTTCAATTGGCAATTGAAATTAGAGTAATGGCGAATATTAAATGCCCCGAATAATTAAATCCGGTTCCCTCGGCTGGATATGGAACCTATGATAAATTCTGTTGTGAGCATTAGCCACTGTCAACTGTCTACGGAATGTCAGAGAAGTTTTCATGCCGAAAACGAATAAGAAAACGGGCTTTTCGGGTTTACGAAATACGTCAAGAGAAAGTTAAGCCTCGAAGGGTGCGTTGGTCTCTCTGCTATTGATTCGCATAAGAGGGGTTGGGGCCTGTAGGGCTTTCCGCCCACTCGCATTCTCCCGCTCATTCTTCTTTCTCGTTCTCTCGAGTTGCCGTTATATTAGTGCGGGCTGTGCGAGGGATAAGCATTTTCGTGTCCCAGCCCTAGCTCGAGCCCCAGCTTCAGCCTTAGCCCCAAACCGAGGAACGCGCTCCTCGCTTTATCTCTCATCCCCCTGCAACAACACCCCCAGGGCCACTCTTCCCTCCTATTTCTCCTTCTTCAGCATCATCATTCTTCCCTTGGCATCACCAATTTTCTCTTTTTTTTTTTTTACTTCATGTCGCACTCGTACTTTCTCCTGTCCTTCCATTTCAAAAATTTCATTTTTATCACACCGGTTTTATTGTATTAGACATTAAAAAAAAATCAATTTCCAAATACTGTTCGATTAGTAAAAATCACAATGGCATAAGGACTAAGGATAATAGAACAATCCAGCGAGAAAGAAAAGAAAGGAATAGCACACACAATTTCGGAAAGCATTTGAAATTTTTGGGACTTATTTAAACTTTTTATTTCATTTCTTCTCTGCCACGCACCATTCACCATCGTATTTACGGGCCGTGCAACTATTAATTAACGTTAAAACGCTTTTGAAGAGGGGCCTATAGTCCCCTGAACCTACCCCAAACGTCATTATCCTGGGGGAAAAAGAGTGGGTTGAGACAAAGACTAGTCAGGTTGTGCTCTCCAAAAATACTCCATATGCTTCGCCGACAGTGAGTGACCTTGGTGCATATTCCATGGCTCAACTAAAAACATATAGCGCAGACTGACCATATTTCGGTCATGGAATGCTCTTTTTCCATTACAACATGGCGAGATATTGTGGACATATTGAACTGAAAATAATGGCATTCATGGATTTTCTCAAATATTATAATTTCTTCCTTTCCAATAGTGAAATTGGTGGAAATTTTTTAAAGGATTATAATTTGATACGAGACCTACTGCGCACTCCGTGCGCCGAATTTGAATTTGGCGGTTCCAGTTGACCAATGAGGAATGAGTCCTACGCGTTTCGAGATATTTCGACTCGGGCCAACTTCATTTTTGTGTTTCTACTTTCATAATAAGGATAATAAGGAATAAACATGAATAGTGTACCCTTTTGAAAAGAAATACCATTGAAACTGGTGGTTCTCCTCGCGACCATGCTTGCGTTTTTTTTTTCTTCGATTTCTATATAATTTGATGATCGACATGTTAACGCGGTGTGCGTACTCTTGACCTTGGAGGGCTACAGTAATCGATACGACTAGGTGTAGTCACCCAATTTTAATCTGTGTGTGTGTTTGTAAGTCGAATATTTTCGATACCAATCTCCAATGAATTTTTAACACTCGTTATTGGCCGCTAAGTGTAAGATAACACCCAGAAAAATATAATACACGCTATTTATGAGATAGTATTTTGAGGATGAGAGGAAGCAAGCGTGCAGTTGATTATTCGTGGAGGATGACCAATCGATTATTCAATCAACTGAGCGTAAATTTTGGCTCGAGAAACACCTTTCTGCATCTATTCTGCACCTCAGAGAACACTTTGATAGGTAAAAAGTGGCAAGAGAGTCTTTGAGAGGTCATTTTATTTCTGCCTTTCTTCGAAAAATTTTTCAAGGCTTTATTTTTAATGAAAAACTCATATCTTCACACATGGTTTAGGATTTTATTGAAGTGAAAATAAACTTGTCAAATATTACAATAAATAAATTCGAAATTTGCGAGCCAAGTCCAAAAGCCGAAAAACAGGTCAATCATTAACAACTTGATTTTCCTATCTATCCATCTCTCTTTCTGAATCTGACGAGGTAATCACGGAGCCAATTCTTAGACCATACCGAACAAGGTCATATTCATCAGGCCAATAATTCATTTTGCCTGCACATAAATTAAATAAATGCCGCTCTCTTTCATCACCCACCTAAACTTGGCTTTGGCCGAATTACATAAAATACAAAAAAAAACAGTGAAAGATATTCAGGCGAAAAATGACAACCTACATTTCATTCCAAATATTACTTATTCATCCCCCTGTACACTATGAATGCTTTGATTAGAAAAGTGACTTTTTTTTGTACATTTTTATTTTTCCAAGAATAATTGCAAATTTTATTGTCATGAAAGTAGAAATATTTATATTTAATAAATGAAGTTGTACGTATAATTAGACTGAGGGAATGAGGATAACGATGGTGTTCGGGTGATTTTAAGTGCTTTAGAGGGTGGGCACCTTCACAACCCCCATTTCCAGTTTCGGCTATCCAAGTACTCAAAAACCACTTGTCCAAACGCGTTCGCCTCCACTCCAAACTGACTTACACCATAAAAATAAAGCTTATCCCTGGAAGTTTTGGGATTCGCCGCTTCCTTTCAGACTCCTCAGCACTTTTAACAATCATTGAGAGTTCAAGAATATGCCTAATATGGTGATGTGTAGCCATAAATCCATTGGTAACCGGAAGACCACAGGTGTCGCCATTCAGATTTCGGAGTACAATTCACATTAATGTTTGATTGATTTTCATTAATTCTCGTGCAGCAAAAGAAATATTATCTTTTTGGTCGCGAGAGAAGACAGCTCATTAAAAGAGAATTATCGGGGCGAGTATGACGAAATGATGAGAAATAATGGATTGGTAAAAATGGTTACGTTATTGTGGTTAGCTGATTGCTCCTCGTTCCTGGCTGGCTTATTTGAATTTCATTGGCAAATCAGGTTTTGCTTTGGAAATTTATGTCCCGCCGGAAGAGTATTCTCCTACCGTGAGAATTCAACTACGCACCTTTAGTTATCGGCTTATAAGTAGCAACGGTAATCATTCTAATTCAACATTGGACAAAGAATAAACTAGAGTTTGCCAGAATGTTTATAGAATATTTATAGTTTTTGTGGGAAAATAATGAAAAAATTGAATGAAGAATGGCCCGACAAGGGCCCCCCACCTGAAAATCGGAAAAAGACGGCTGATCGGTCGACACTCCACGTGGGTAAACGCGCAGAGAGGGAGAATTGGCCTTGATGGTTGGGTAAAAAAAGGGGAAAAATAAAGGTGGAGTTGGAAGGGGAGTACCTTACGTATCGGAATCAGACGTACCGCCAGATGCCACCACCTGCACGCATTTTCCAATTGGAGCGCATGCGTGCGCATACACGCATGCACGCACGCACGCACGCATCGGGGAAAAAAAAAAAAAAAAATCTATGGTGACGGTTTGTTTGACACATGCTTTGGCGCGAGAGGAGAACAACAAGGGCAACAAGCGCCACAAGGGCAACAAGGGCAGTAAGGGTAACAAGGGGCGCCAGTCTCTTCCAGGGTGGGGTTTTCCCCCGTTTTTCGTTCATCTCCCTCTCCAGGGAAAAAGAAGGAAAAGTGGGGGCTAGACCGGGTGGTTATGGATGTTGGTGGGGGTACAACTGGGCGCGGCCTAGCCCCATGCCGGCTCTTAATGCCACTATGCTGCGCACCACCATTATAAAAATAATATCAGTGTACCCGCGCTTTCTCGCACAGGATATACCGGCAATATTAAACCACAGCACTGCTGCTGTTTTCACACGGCTGTGCCACCACCAACAAGCGACCATTTTTTTTTTATTTTCGGTTAAATCATCCCCATTTCGGCATAATTTTTATTTTCAATGAAAATTTATAAATTCCCTCACTTTATCGGCCCCAATTGAAAATTTTCACTCAAAAAACAGTAATCCACCTCCTCCATCAATTGATGGGCAAAAGAGAAAGAAGAAAAAGAAAGATAATAAAAAGGAGAATTTGACGTTTAGTTGGAGCTGGAAAATTGTCAAATTGTTTTACACTCTCCGCCGACGCCGCTCGAAACCGCCGACGCCCCGACAGTGAACACGCACGCGTGAATGTAGGTGACGCGCGTATACCCAAAATCTAGGAAAAGACCGATTTTTTCTGGCTCGAGTATTTTTTTTCACCACACACCCAACCCCCCATTTATATACCACCCGTTATATGCCACATCAGTATCACACGGAATTAAGTACGCGTCGTGTGGGCGGCTTTCGCAGCCACCAAACGCTCATTTCGCTTTCGCTTTCGCTTTCAGTCTCGGACATTCTTTCAAAATTCAACCAACCAAATTTTCAACTGATCAACTGCTGTGTTTATAATTTTCATTTCGTTTATTTGAGTACAACCCAGTGCCAAACATTAAAATAGTGAAGTTAAATGATCACTGCCAATCTGTGAAAAGAGAAGAGTTATTAAGGGGAAAAGGAAAAAAAGGAAAAGTTTGAGGAGGGGCGAAGAAGAAGAAGAAGAAGAAGTAGAAGAAGTAGAAGAAGTAGAAGAAGAAGAGGAGGAGGAAGAAAGTGGGAGTAAGGAAAGACTAGACATTGTAGTAATAACTGACGCCGGTTGGTAAAGGCTAAAGCTGGTTGAACCCGCGTAAGGAGTGTGTTGCCCCAGTGAGGAGTGTGTTGTTGTACCCGTGACAAACCCATCCCCCCTGTTATTATTATCTTTTATTTTTTATCCCAGTTTGCTTTATTATATTTATTAACCTATACACAGAGTTTTTATGGTAATTTAATTAATGAATTCAATGATATAATAAGTTTTCCTTTCGGCTGTTTCCGTCAAAGAAAAATTAAGTGTTAACGGACGAATATTGGAGGAAGGATTTAAAGTGTGTGCCAGTGTTTGAGTCTACCTCAGTCGTTGAGCATTATTGCTGAGCGACAGAAATATTTGAGCTCCTTTGATATTTATTAAGGATATTACGGTTTAAGCAACAGAGATTTATATATAGATATTATATATAGAGGGGAGATATTATTTATCGTGAAGAAAGTGTGAAAGGCCAGTGATTTTTTCATTTCGCACGTTGGAGAACACTTGTTCGCTGAGTATCATTGATTTTTGAGATTTTGTGGTGAAAAATGTCGTTGGATAAATTCGCTGAGGGTGGCATGCTCCAAAAGGAGATGGAACGACTGGATATTGAGGATAAAAATGGAGACGCTGCAAGGTAAATTTCATTGTTTAGAGGATTTTCTTATTGTTGGTTCGTTTCAATTGCTTCGAAATAGTGATATTTTCTTTGGCGATTTTCGGAGCAATTGAGGTTTAATTTTAAAATGCCATGAAATATAAGATTAATTCAATGAGGAATAGACTGTTTGGTGAGGGTTTTGGCAGACGTGTTGATGTTATTCAGTGGGAATTATAATGGAATGTACGACTATTGGTATCCAATAGCAATAAACGATTATATAAAATAGAAGAAGAAATTGAGGGAAATTTAGAAAATAAAATAGAATTAATGATTGTTGAAGTCAAGAGTGGTGACTCATTGGTAAGGTGACTGTGGCCGTCAAAAAGCGACAAAAAACAGCGAAAAACCGCGTGTATTGCCGTATGCTCGTCTGAAATAGTCTCCCATGTCCCCATGTGTGCCGGCAAAATATATAATCATGGAAAATATAGACCATATATATATTATGATGAAGGCTTTTTCTCAAAGAACCCAAAAGGATACACATCCTTTTCGAGCATTTATTACCATCGGAAGGGGGGACTCGAATTTTCGTAGCAAAAAATTCCATGACAAAGATGAATTTTTTAATTTCCCTCCTACTGATTTTATAACAGCTTCAATTATATAATGCATTATTTTTTATCCCTACGACACTCCTACAATTCGACTATTTTTATTCAGCTTATTATCTGCTCCGGAATATGAAATTCCATTTTTTTGTACTATTCCGGAAGAGTGTTTAAGATGTTCATATGTGTTGAAAGAAGAAAGAATGTGAAGCTAGGAAATATTTTAGCGACTATGCGGCGGAGAAGTGGTGACGATTTCGTTGGGCCTAGGCAGGCACCTAGAACTTTCCACTCCACCAATGTCAGTCAATGTAAGCCACTTTCGGTGATTGTATTGGTGATAGCGCGTGCGTCCCTTTTCCGGATGTGCGTACTTTTCTAAAAACATAGTGCCCCAAAAAAATTTTTCATTTACCTCAATATTTTTTAATGCCACGAAATATCTCAAATTAATCAAAATACCTCATCATCAAAATTCTCACGCAATTCTTCAATATCTCCGAATCGTATAATGTCAAATTCCGATTTAAAAAATGTTGGGGAGACTCTTGTTCCATCCGGAAAAAGAATCTTCGCTCCAATATTTTAAATATCTTTTAGTTGATGACGCAAACCCAATGGCGTTATCTCCGAAAATTAGCGGTGATTTCTTGCCAATAGAATGAACTCAGTGAGTCGCTCTCACTCTTGTTTTTTCTTATTTTTTTTTTCAGCCAGTTAGATCTTCTCATATATAATGAACCATTCGTTTTTCTCATTCGAACGTATTGGTGTGTTTGTAAAGTGAGGTGGTATGTGGTTAGAACCTATGGAACGCACGTTACGAATTCGAATGTGGATGAAATTCTCAGAAGCGCCTCCAACCCATCGGCTCCACTGGCATTAATGGTGTTACCACTTGTGGACTCCAATATTCGAGGTCGTCTCTCGCTTCTTCTTTACTTTTCTCAAAAAATTTCTGATAGTCAACAATAAAGTACAAAAAGTCTTATTGTATTAAAACCAAAGTGTTCCGTTACATAATATTCTTCATCGAGCGAATGAGAATGACACGAGGCATGATAGACTTTTGC